GTTCTCTTTTCCCCCCTCTGCGTTTGAGTCATATTTGGTGTCTGCTCCTCCCTGGGTTTGGTTCCGTGTTCCATCGGGTGCGTCAGTTCCATCTTTCTGGAGGTTTTCAGCTTCCCGCATCTAACCGTCTGCAGTGCGGATGGCCCTGGTGGCTTACCTCCTGCGTGACCCGGATTATGCCTCGGTGATGGATCCGTCATCTTTCAGGTTTGGGACTTCGGTCTCTTTCGGGGTCCGTTACGAGGTTCCGGAGGTGGTGGACTCTCCTGTCTTTGCTTTGGAGGCTTGGCACTCCTTCTGTCGTTCCCGCAACGCTTGAGTGGCACAAGGCTTCGATGGTGGTTCAGGATTTCCTGGGGGGCTAACTTGAGCACCTCAATGAGTGCTTGCTTGCTCCTGCCCTTCTCTGGGATGTTGGCATTCTGCAGCTCCATGTGCAGGTTCCTTTCCTTTCGGCTGTGCAGGTGGCCGAGGACTTGCACGCCCGGGGCCTCTTGGCTTGGGCCTTGTGCTTCTTTCCCTCCTGGAGCTGTCTTCGGACTGACTTGGGAAGGATGTGGGAGCGCTCGGGGCTGTTCCGGGGTCTGGTTCCTTGGGCTCGGCAGCTCACGTGTCGGCTGCCTTGTTGAAGCTGTTTGCTCCGATCTTGCGGGATGTGGTTTCCAGTTTTATGCTTTATGGCTTGTGTGTCGGCAGGCGGTGCTTGCCTCCTCCTTGGAATCGGCCTGGGCCCTGGCTCTTCGGATGTCTTTGCCTTTTGTCCTCTGCTTTTTGCACCTTCCGCCGTGGCGCGGTATATTCAAGCTGCTTCGGCTAGTTGCTGTCTTATGTCTGACTTGTTGGTTCTCCGGGGGACCGGCTCGGTTTTGTTGTGGGGCATGAAGGTTACTGCTTTCGTTGTCTCCCATTCGAGTTGAATCTGGCACCTCGCATGTTTACATGCCTTACGCGGGTCATAGTGGCCCGTCTGCGTCTCTTAGGTCTTCGGGTGTTGACCTACCTCGACGATTGGCTGGTTTGGGCTCCCAGCCGGTCCTGTTGTCTGCTAGCCAAGGATTTGGTTCTTTTCCAGCTCGCTGGGTTCGGGTTCTTGGTGAACTGGAGGAAGTTCCATCTGGTTCCCTCCCAGGTTCGGCAGTGGCTGGGTCTTGTGTGGGATTCTCGGACCATTTCCTTGTCTCTTCTTCCGGAGTCTCTCCTACGGCTGCAGTCCTGCTTGTGCCTTTTTCTGGGGGACTCTCGGGTCACCCGGCAGTTGCTCGAGGGTTTGTACGGGAGCATGAACTTCGCGATGATGGTCCACCCCGCCGGGTCGGGTTTGACTTCGTCGGCTGTTCTGGTTCCTTTGGGGACGTCCCTTCTGCCTCTCTCGCGATCACTGGGTTCAGCCCCCGGGGGCCTTGCATTGGCTGCTGTGTTGCCGGCTTCCTCTTTTTGTTTTTTTTCCGGGGTTCAATGCCTTGGTGCCTGCCCGAGCCCTCACTCGATGTGTTCACGGACGCGTTGTCTCTCGGCTGGGGCTTTGTGACCAGTACTCACCAGGCTGGCCAGGGATGGTGGGGTTCCTCCTTCTGTCGAGCCCACAGCACTGTGCGGGAGTTCGCGGCGGTGTGGTTTGTGCTGCGGAAGGTTCAGGTCGCCGGCGGATCGACGATCCGGTTCCATTCAAACTGCTCCCCGGTTGTTCATTGCCTGATCCGAGGGAGTTCGATGCGTTCCTTGGCTCTTTGCCGCTGGTTGCTTCAGACGACTCGTCTGCTGATTTCTTGGGGTTTGGCTCTCCTGGCTGTTTACGTGCAGGGAGTGTCCAACATCCAGACTGAAGGTCTGTTTCATTTCGTTCCCCTTTCCACGGAATGGACGGTCGACGCCGTCTCCTTCCGTTGGCTTTGCCAGATGTTCGGGCGCCTCGATGTGGACCTCTTCGCGTCGGTGTGGTTGCAGCGCCTTCCTCAATATGTGGTGCCCTTCCTCGATTGCGAGGCCATCGGGGGGTCGATGCCTTTCGGCAGGACTGGTCGAGGTGGGGGTTCCTGTACCTCTTTTCCCCGGTTCAGCTGTTGCTCCAGGTCCTTACTCACTTGAAGATCTACCAGGGGGAGAGTAATTCTCTTGGCCCCAGGGTGGCCGGCCCAGCCATTGTTTCAGGCACTGCTTGCACAGTATCCGAATCCGGAGGTTTTCCCGCGGCTCCGACTCTTCCAACAGATCGGACCGGTGTGTCACGTGGCGTGTTCAATCTTCTCCTCGAGTCTTCGCATATGGTCTTTTTTACTCGAGTTTATCATCATCTCTATGGTGATCAGGTGACTTCCTTGTTAGTGTCCCACCTGCGGGCTTCGTCTCGGTGGCAGTAGGAAGTTTCCTGGCTTTCCTTCTGATTCTTTTTTGCGGCTTCGTCGTTGTGCTTCACTTTCTGTTAGGGTGTTGTTGTCCTTTCTCTTTTGGTTGTTCCAGGACTGTTACCTTATGCCTAACACTGTCGCCTCGTATCATGCAGCCCTGGCGGAGCTGCTTCAGCTTGCTTTCGGTATTGATGTTTCTTCTGCGCCGTTTCGCAAGCTGTCTCATGCATTGTTTCATCACCGACCTGCTCATGCGCCGCCTATGCCATTCTAATCATTGAACAGAGTGCTCTCTTTTCTTTCTTCTCCTCGGTTTGTTGTGGCATCTTCGGTTCAGGATTGTTTCTCCAAGGCTCTTTTTCTGTTGGCATTGGCCTCTGGTGGTCGTGTTGGTGAGCTTCATGCTCTCTTCCGGCGCAGGGGTTTCTGCTCTTTTGGTCTTTGTGATGGTTTTGTCCGTCTGCAGCTGTCTCCCTCTTTTCTGGCGAAGAATGAGACTGCTGCTTTTCGGAGGGGTCCCTGGGTTGTTGATGATTGGTTGGTTGGGCCGGGGATGCATTTTGTTTTTGTCCGGTTGCGGCTCTCCGCCGTTGTTGGCATGCCACGGCTTCTGGGTTCGTGGACGCGCTTTGGGTTGCTCCGGTTCCCTTCTTCCCTGTTCGAGGGTGCGGGTCTCCCAGGTCGTTCGCTGGGTTCTTAAGGCTCTCAAGCCTGCGTCTATCTACGTGCCCATGACGTCTGCAAGTTTGCGGCTCTTGCCACTGTCTTCGGTACTGTGTCCTGGGAGGACATTCGGGCGTGGGGAATTTGGCGGTCGAACAGGGTCCTTGGCTGTTCGTTACCTTGTACACGTTCCTGGGCCCGGTCGGGCCTGTGTCGCTTTGGGTCGGCGGATGCGGCCTGTTGTCTCATCTTCGGGTTGAGTAGTGTGCGGCGACCGCCTTCCGGGTCAGTCCCTATTCTTTTCGTCTGTGGGTAGTTAGCTCCGGGGAGCCATAAGGGCTCCCCCCCCCCAGAAAACCAGTGTTGAATGTAATGATATGCCACTTTCTGGGTGAGTCCCGGAGGCTCCTCAGATTCCCTCCCTCACTCCGGACGGCGTTTTCTCGTGTTTTGACATCCAGCCTCAGAACTGGGGTGTGGATCACCGGCGTGGTAGGTCTGGGGCTACCCCTTCCCCCTCCCAGGAGGGGGGAGCTGCGCAGACAGCGGCGCGGTGATGGGTGACGTCATACTAGTTTGCTCGTTTTTGTTTGTGGAGTTCTATCCACTCGTTCGGTTTTTGGTTGCAATTTTCACCAGAATAGGGGTTTGTTGTGGGACGCCTACCTTTCTGGGTGCCTAACCCAGTCGATGGCAGACATAGAATGCTTCCAATCACACAGGGGGTTTCTATTGGCCATTGCTCCCCTTGCCACTCTGAGGGAGCCAGGTTCTGTCTTGTGGTCCCTGGTAGGCCCATAAGAACTCCGTACACATGACTGATGCCAAAGTCTGACATTAGCATATCAGCCTGGAAAGCTTCGAGGAGCCTCCGGGACTCGCCCAGAAAATGGCGTTTCATTACATTCAGTGCTGGTTTTTTAAAGATGGAGGCTGGTTTACTATTGCTTCTGGGCAGCATATGGTTGCTCTGTTTTCCACACGGGACATATAAATTATATCCTGTTCCCTAATACTTCCCCGGAAGGGATGCATAGTTTGCAGATAATTAGCAGCCACCTTGCCTTACCTTGAGGTTACCTTGAGGTGCTTCCGGGGCTTAGCGTCCCTGCGGCCCGGTCGTCGACCAGGCCTCCTGGTTGCTGGACTGATCAACCAGGCTGTTGGACGTGGCTGCTTGCAGCCTGACGTATGAGTCACAGCCTGGTTGATCAGGTATCCTTTGGAGGTGCTTATCCAGTTCTCTCTTGAACACTGTGAGGGGATTGCCATTTATGTCCCTTATGTGTAGCGGAAGCGTGTTGAACAGTCTCGGGCCTCTGATGTTGATAGAGTTCTTTCTCAGAGTACCTGTTGCCACATCTCCAGGTGGGATAATGCAGAAAGTCCAGCAAATTCTTATGGCATTTTATTTTTTATTTTGATACTGTATCTGTATTTTATGTAGGTTCTATGAATGTTGTTGCTTTTCTCACAAAAAATTTATATCCTTTCTGAGATTATACTAGTTTATTAATATGCTTAGCTGCACCTTCTGTGTAAGGACATCTTTTACAAAAGGTGAATTTTGTTTAGTCAGGCTGGCCTTTCAAAATTGGGTTTGTTGCACTATTACCCTGAATTTGTTGAAATGTAAACAGAACTTCAATTCTAGTAAAGGTGATGATGGTAGTATATACTGTTTTACTGTATGTGGAAGTAAGTGGTCATGTTTAAATCATTAATGCAATAATCTATAATTCTAGTCGCACCTAAGTAGACTAATTATTGTGAATATAAACATTGTTAGTGAAATACTTTAAGAATCAAAAACTTTATCTAGATTTTCAGTATAATTCAGCAGTAGTCTGTTTATTCATAAAAGTATTTAAGAAACACTTAACTTAGGATGATCTAGACTTTCTTTGAAACATATTCAACTGTGTTATTGTATATAATATCCATAAATAAAAAGCCAAGAAATAAAATTTTGTGCAAATATTCCAATTTCAGGCTACCTTTGATGAGCTGCCTTACTCGGATCTAGAGCGAAAAGAGGAAGAAACTGTCAAAGAGGTAAGAGAAGGCAAGTGTGTGGAGGTACTGTAACATTTTGTTACATCCACCTAATGTGCCAGATCAATGTTATTAGAAAACCTCCACCACTCCTGCTTGTCAGTTTGAACGTGTTTATGGCATTTTATGTGGGGAGCCATCAGACTGATATATGCTATATTAGTCTGGGGCTTCAGTCAATGGAGTTCTGCCTACCAGGGACCACTAGCCAGCACATGGCCCTCTCAGAGAAGCGCAGGGAGCAATGGCACTAGGAAAACCCCCTTGTATTTGGGGGGTATTCCAGCTGCCATCGACTGGAGTTAGTCACCCAGAACGGTAGGCATCTCAAAGCAAATCCCACATTGTAGGAAATTGCAGAAAACCCAAGACCGAACAGAGAAACAGAACTCCCCCAAAAAAACAAAGGAAACAAGCAAACGTCATTCACAGCTGCTTGTCCGCACATCTCTCCCCTCCCCGGGAGGGGAAAGGGGGAAGCTCCGGACCATCATGCCGGCTACTCACACCTCAGTTTGTTGGCTGGAATGCTTTGGGGTGGCTGTCAACTCTGGCCTCAGTTTCTTGCGGGATTTTGTGCACCTGTGGTGTTTTCTTGCTGGTTTGTGCTTCCTGACCACCTGTGGTGGTCAGGAGTAATGTAGTGTACTATGACTGCATGAACTTAGAGCTGCCTTCTAACATTCTGTAAGTATTACCCTTGGGTTCTAGGGTTGCCTTCCCTAGAATCTTCAGGCTTACACTCCCATTGGGGTTCCTGCTGCTCAGCATTTACCCCGCCCTTGAGGCCAGCTGGGGTTTCGTGGCCTTTGTTTGGCTCTGGGTAGGGCGTCTACTGTTGTTGTTGTTGCTGTGCAGCATGCATACCTAGCGGTTATCTTGAGATGATTTCGGTGCTTAGTGTCCCCGCGGCCCAGTCCTCGACCATGCCTCCACCCCCAGGAAGCAGCCTGTGACAGCTGACTAACTCCCAGGTACCTATTTACTGCTAGGTAACAGGGGCATCAGGGTGAAAGAAACTCTGCCCATTGTTTCTTGCTGGCCATTGTTTCTTGCTGGATCAAACCCGGGACCACAGGTTCACGTGTCCAGTTTTCTGTCCACTCAGCAACCGGCTTGTTGTCCTGTTCTTTTCTTTTTGTTTCTTGCATGGAGGAGGTCTGACTGGTTGGACTATTCAGTCTACTTAGGATAATGTTGGTGGCCCTCTTCTAGAGCCCCATGCTTGTACACTTCACTGGGATTCAGTTTTTAGCCCAGTTCCCTCTTTGTTGGTGTTCCTCTGGGCTCAACTGGTTTTGCAGCACCTGTGCCTGGGCTTCCCGCAGACAAAACTCCCTTGCGGGTCCTGGAAAACCCCGTCTGGGCTTCGTTGATCACTGGATGTGTCCTCTGAGTCTTATCTCACCTTGTGCGAGTTTGCAGGTTATTTGTTGCCCTTGTCTCAGGGGTGATAATCATCAGGTTTGCCTCTGACATGCTGTTTGTGGGATCGCAGATATCGACTTGGGGTCGTGCAGGTCTTGTTTCCCTGCTCGTTCTCCAGGTTCCCTTTTCTTCTTTTGAAGATCCTTGGGTCAAGCAGCTGTTAGGTTGCTTGGTTTATTTAGATTCTTTCAGCGCTCTAGGTTGGTTGCCTGCTCGAATACCTCAGGACTGCCCCATTTTGGTTTAGGGATCTGGACTTTGAGGCATTGGTTGCCCCTGAATCCTTTACCTGCTGTTGTGGTTCCTCTGCTCCTCCCCTACCCCCTGCTGCTGCTGGCTCCTTAATGTCTGCAGGTTTTGGAGTTGGGGCAGTGTTTAGTTGGTAATAAGACTATAGTGGCTCCGTGGGCTGCCCAATTTTTTGCCGGGAAAGGAGGCCTTTGAGCATGCTCCTCCCGCCGAGGCTCTGCCCCAGGGCCTCTGTTGGGGGTTCCCAGGGCTGTGGGGGGAGCTCGCTAAAGGGTTCTGAAGCTGTTTGCCCCTGCTTGGGCTCTGTGCCTTTTGGGCAGGTTTTTTTTCGTCCCTCCTTCCCATTTGCTTTGGTTTCCCCTTTTGCTGGCATGATTTTGACTCCCTTATGTCCAACATGTCTCCTTTGTTTTGGTGGCTATTTTTTTTTTCCTATGGGTACTTCCCTGCCTAGCCACCAAGGTGGCGCTGTGGCTTGTTTGTTTACATGTGACTGCAGGGCATGTGAGCTTGCGTTTTTGGGGATGTTTCTGGGGGGAGCCCCTTCGGTTCCCCGGAGCTACTAGGCTGATATGCTAATGTCAGACTTTGGCATCAGTCATGTGTATAAAGTTCAATGGGCCTACCAGGGACCACGAGCCTGAACCTGGGCCCCCGTCAGAAGAGGCAAGGGGAGCAATGGCCTGTAGAAACCCCCGTGTGTTTGGAAGCATTCTATGTCTGCCATCGACCGGGTCAGGCACCCAGAAAGGTAAGCATCCCAAAACAAACTCCTATTATGGTGAAAATATTGCTACCAAAAACCGAACAATTGGATAGAACTCCCCTAAACGAAACGAGCAAACGATCATGGCATCACACGTCGCCGCGCCGCTGTCTGCCCAGCTCCCCCCTCCCCAGGATGGGGAAGCGGGAGCCCCAGACCCCACATGCTGGCTATCCATCCTTCAGTTCTCAGGCTGATGCTAGTGGCAGAGGTCGAGTGCTTGGCTCCAGACATTGTCTGAGCACTGTGCTTAGAGTGTGGTGGATGTCTTCGAGGGGTGAGAGAGCCAGGAGTTATTCTACGGTACTCGGGCTGCATGCGCCTAGGGTTGTCGTTCCTACGTGCCCTGTAAGTACTGCCCTTGGGGCTTGGGATCACCCTCCACAAGCTCCTCAGGTCCTGCCTCTGCTAGGCTGTATTACTGCTCGTTTTTTTGGCTGCCCTTTGGGTGCCTGGGGGTTTTGTCTTCCTTGTTTACTGTACGGTGAGAGGCAGTTTGCACTGGTGTCTGCCTCTTCCCGGGATCGGTTCCGTGTTCCCTCGGGTGCGGTGGTTCCATCTTTCCGGAGGTTTTCGGCTTCCCGCATCCAGCCATCTACAGTGCGGGCGGCCCTAGCAGCGTACCTCCTGCGTGACCCGGATTACGCCTTGGTGATGGATCCGTCGTCTTTCAGGTTTGAGACTTCGTTCTCTTTCTGGGTCCGTTACGAGGTTCCGGAATTGTCCTGGCTGGCGGACTGTCCTATTTTTGCCTTGGAGGTCTGGCATTCTTTCTGTTGTTCCCACACGCTTGAGTGGCGCGAGATTTTGACTGTGGTTCAGGTGTTCCTGGGGGGCGACCTTGAGCACCTCAATGAGTTCTTGTTTGCTCCTGCCTTTTCCCTGGATGTTGGCATTCTACAGCTTCATGTGCAGGTTCCCTCCCTTTCGACTGTGCAAGTGGCCAAGGATTTGCTCGCCAGGGGTTTCTTGGCTTGGGCCTTGCGCTTCTCTTTTCTCCTTAAGCTGTCTTCGAACTGGCTCGAGGAGGATGTGGGGGCGCTCGGGGCCGCTCCGGGGTTTGGTGTCTTGGGCTCGGCTTCTCGCGCATCGGCTGCCTTGTTGAATCTGTTTGCGCCGATCTTGCGGGATGTGGTTGCCCAGTTTTACGCTTCCCGGCTCACGTGTTGACAGGCGGTGCTTGCCACCTCTCTGGAATCGGCCTGGGCCCTGGCTCTTAGGGTGTCTTCGCCCTTTTGTCCTCTGCTTTTTGTCCTCTGCTTTTTGCTCCTGTCGCTGTAGTGCGCAGTATATTCAGGTTGCTTTGGCCAGTTGCCGTCTGATGTTGGACTTGTTGGTTCTCCGGGGGGGTCCCATGGGGGCCTACCCAGAGGGGTCATGCCAGGGCTTGGGGTTCCTCTCATGGTGGTAGGTCACGGGGGCCAGGTTCGGGCATGGCTCTGCCTTCAAATCCCGCCTTCGGCTCGTCGGTGCAGTGTTCGCCCTGTGCGGGGTTCTGGGTTTTGTAAGGGGCGCCGGCCCTTTTGCGGTTCACCCCATTGACAGGGCGATGTGGGGGGAGGCTTGCGCTGTTCGCTCACGCCTGGTCCCGTGATTTGTGGGCATTTCGGGTCGTGTCTTTTGGCCTGCGGTGGCGTTGGGTGGCCCCTCCTCCTTCGGGAGGTACGAGGCTGGCAGGACAGGCTGCTTCTTCTGTGTTCCGTCGAGTCGTCTTGGAGTGAGTTCGCTTGGGCCTTGTCGAAACGATGTCATCCCTCAGATAGGTTTCCCGTCTGTTTCCAGTGCCGAAACAGGACTGTGCGGACCTGGGGTTCATTCTGGACTTGTCCTGTCTGAACCCCTGGGTTCATTGCCCCTCCTTTCGGATGACTACGTTTTCTCAGATTTGGCTCCTGATGGAGCCGGTTCTTGGATTACGTCCCTGGACCTCTGGGACGCTTATTGGCACGTCCTGATTCATCCGGGGTTCAGGGACTGGCTCGGTTTGTTGTGTGGCGTCGAGGTTACCACTTTCGTTGTCTCCCATTCAGGTTGAATCTGGCGCCTCGCGTGTTCACACGCCTTACGCGGGTCATCGTGGCCCGTCTGCGTCTTCTAGGTGTTCAGGTATTGGGCTACCTCGAAGTCTGGCTAGTTTGGGCTCCTAGCTGGTCCAGTTGTCTGCTAGCTAGGGATTTGGTTCTTTCCTAGCTCGCCGGGTTCGGGTTTTTAGTGAACTAGAGAAAGTCCCATCTGGTGCCCTCCCAGGTTCGGTCATGGCTGGGTCTTGTGTGGGACTCTCAGACTGCTTCCTTGTCTCTTTCTCCGGAGTCTCTCCTCTGACTGCAGTCCTGCTTGCGCCTGTTTCTGAGGGGGCTTCCGAGTCACCCAGCGGTTGCTCGAGGGTTTGTGCGGGAGCTTGAACTTTGCGATGTTGGTCTACCCGCTGGGTCAGATTTGACTTCGTCGGCTGTTCTGGTTCCTTCAGGACATCCTTTCCGTCTCTCTCTCGTTCACGATTGCTGGATTCAACCCCTGAGGCCTTGCGTCGGCTGCTGCGTCGCCGGTTTCCTCTTGG